CGAGGTTTGACGGAGGTGACGAGAGCTTTTCCTAAGTCATGCACAAAAACCATTCTCACAACGTAAATCTCACTGCTCAGGTTTGAAAACCTGAATGTTTTCATTTACTCAACATTCCTTGTGAAGGACAGGAGATCGGAAACTCTAGATGAGCATGTTTTCCGAAGCTGTCAGTGGAGAGGTTTCAGTTGCAGGTATAGGGGGCATGATTTTACAGCAAGCCTGCAGAGGCCCCCTCTCTCCTCGGTAGATGTCAGCAGGCAGGTTCCTGCAGCTCCAGCACAGGTGGCCTGATCCACCTGGAGCGCTGAATGGTTTTCCTTGCCGATGAGCTCTGTAATGAGCCGACACATTTCTCTGTAATGGGGTGCAGCCGCAGATGCAGACGTAATAAGGTTTCCAGAACTTGAGGGATCTTTGCCAGTGCTCCAGGCTTTGTGGTTTCACAGGAATTCATCCTGTGATTCTAACGTTTATGTGGTGAGAGGTCGGAAGCAGCCCTTCTAGAGGCTGCACCTGGGAAGCCAGGCCCCTGGGTAAAGCCAGTCACAAATCCATCACATGGCTTTAGATGTGTCTCTTGTGAGTCAGGTGACCCTGCATTGCCTGTGAGGACCTGAGGGCTGGTACCCACACCCACACATGTACAACTACCACCACCGTCCACCTCCACTCCACGTAACAGGCAGCAGCCCCCGGGGCGGGCGTGCCTGCCGCTGACCCATCTCCATGCTATCATCTTGGACCAGAACTCAGAGCTCCCAGCAGTAGGTTTAATGATGGAGCTGATCCACCCTGTACCCTCTTCCAACTAGACCAACCTAACATGGGCCACAGACCTCTGCCACCCTTCCCACAGCTTCCCCAACTCCGGGCCTTGAGGAGAGGCCAGAAATAGGACTGGTTATGACCATTTCTGCTGAGTCACAGGGTCCCAGCTCCAGTTTCCAGAGATATTAAAAAAAAAGAACTGCCTTCACGGCTTCACTGAGTACCCAGTAGCAAAGAGGAGCTAATTAAAAAATATCTCAATCAAAATAAGCACGTCTCAGAGTGTTGGGACAACCGAGGTTCTATAAATGCTAAGAAGATTGATTTGGGTTTAACGGTAAACGGGCTGCACCACCACAAAGCAACTTCAGGAAGTCCTGAGGGCACTGATAGGAGGCTGAGGAGTCCATTTGGAAAGTGGGCAAGACAGAGCAGAGTCATTACGCAGAACTGAGTGCCTGAAAAAATGTGAATGGGGAGCGTGTTATGGGAACTGCTACCCTGGGTCTGACTCACAATCTGTTCAGCCCAGTGTTCTGGAGTTTGAAAAAATAATAATTTCATTCAACAACTTTTGAATTCAGATATTTGCTCAATACTGACGTATGTCAGGGAGTTCCTGTAGTGTCACCCCACCTCTAGCCAGTGTGCTCTATCAACCCCTCATGAGTAGTTACAGCTCACATCACATTTCAGAGCCGAACCCAGCTTCCTACATCAGGGACTCTCTCCCCTGGGCTGTCGGGGCACATGTATGTACGTCAGGCCTGGATTTGTGAGCAGAGGTGGGCTCTCACAGGAGGGAACGTGAAACCATGCATTTTGAAGTTCCTTTTCACTTAATGTATCAAACTAATATGCTGAGGTATTTTCTGTATCGCAAGGGACCATTTGGTAGAAGCTTGCATGGAATAAGCATTTAATGTTTACTGAATGAATGTATAATAAAGCTGAATCTCTGAACACTTAAGTAAACATGGCTTATTAGAGGGAAGGCAGCATGGTATCAGTAAGGAAAAATCACGCCTCGCTAATCTCCTCGAGTTCTTTGAGCAGATAAATAAGCATATGGATAAGAGGGAACCACAGAACCCAATTTAATTTGACTTTCAAAAATCTGTGAGAAAAATCTCACTCTAAAGACGGTTTTTATAAAATTGAGTCACTAAGGGTTATTTTATCATCAATATGGAATTGGTTTAAAGATTGTAAACAAAGCTAAAGATAAATGGATACACTCCCAGATGGAAAATTGTAAACAGTGGGGTTTCCTCGAGATCTAATTTTCTATGGGTCTTTATGAACAATCTAGAAGAGAAGGTATGTATTGACTGTCTAGGTTCAGGTAATGCCTAGTTCTTCTGAGGAGATGCTGATGGTAAATGTACGAGTTCAGAGCAGGGCAAAAGTAAATGTGGATTGAGGTAGGGAAGGCTTCACAGAGGAAGCAGAATTTGAGGAGAGTCTTGAACAATAGCTAGGGCTTGGATGGGTGCAGAAAACATGGAGGGTCTCCTTGTTAACAGCAGCTAATGCACGTTGAGTGCTTGTCTGCGTATAAGTCAGGGTTTATATGTGTGATCTCATTTAGCCTACAATAGCCCAGTAGTACAGTAGATCATATCCCCATTCTCCAAAGGAGGAATGAGAGGCTTAAAGAAGTTAAGTAGTGGGCCGGCCGAGTGGTGCATTGGTTAAGAGCTTGCTTGGGATGCCAGAGGGCCCTGGTTCGGATCCCACATATGAGGGTCAGTGATACTGCCCTCTACAGCTAAGATGCTGAACAACAGCTCAACCTGGAGCTGGGCTGCCATGAGTCACCAGGGATAACGTAGGCTGCAGCCCCTGCTGCAGTGGGTTGCCATGGGCTACCGTGTGTAGCCAGCAGCCAGTGTGAGCGGCCAGCAGCCACCGTGAGCGCACAATGATGGTGCCAACTTGGGACAGTGAAGCAACGTCCTCCACAACTAGACTGAAGAACAAAAGGACAGCAACTTGTCTGTTCCCATCCCCCAATTCCCCAATTTAAAAAAAAAAAAGAAGTTAAGTAGTTTGCTCAAGCTCACATTGTTAGTCAGTGGAAGACCCACTGTTTCGCTGCCTCCAATTCTAGCGGAAGTGTCAGCATGAGTGAGCAAAGGCATGGGAGCTGGGCTTGCCAGAGCAGGTGGCAGAAAGAATGGAGAGGTGGGTGTGACAGCTTGTACCGGGGAGCAGTGAGGGGTGAGATTGGAGCATATGAAATGTATCTAAATTACAGAGGTCCTTACATCTCACTGGGGAGACTTGAACTTTCTCCTGAGGATACTGTGTTAAGTGCAAGAAGGAAATTAGAACCATATTCTGAGTTTGAGGCCTACAGACCTTCGTGTGGGCATTGGAAAAAGGGAGGACAGACAAATGGTTTGGGGAAGAAATGGACTGCAGGTGGGGTACCTTTATCGGTGCCTTCTGCTTAAATGTGTGTGTTGTGTGTATGTCTGCCACTAGTATATTGATTAGAGGGCTGCTCTCTTCCAAGTCAGCTCTTGGAGTCTCATGTTATGATGACATCTGTGTGTCATGTGAAGCAATATGGAGACACATGGCTGCCACGTCCCATCTCACTGCTCAGGGGCTGAGGGTGCTCAAGGACCAGGACAGGCTCTCAGAGTGCCTCTGCTGCCTGCTGGGTGATGGCCTGGTGGTCTGAGCCCTGTGACTTACTGGCTTCCTCCACTTCTTTCATCAACGCTCTCTGCTGAGTCTGGCACAGCAACAGTCTACAACTGCACTTAGCCATCAGACTCAGTCTGTAAGAGCCTGACGCTGCAGAAGAACTTCAGGGGACTTTGAACAGGGGAATACCAATGTAACGTTTGAGGAAGAAAATCTAGAGGCAGCAGAGAAGTAGTAAAATTTCTGCAACTTCTTCCGCCATCCCTCCAGGCCACCACCTCCTCGTGGCCACATGGCATACGGAATAGGACATGATGCTCTGGGGCTGGAAGAGGAACATGTTTTGGGTGAGCAGCCAACTACTCAATGAAACCTTGACCATTTAGAAATGTCACCCAAGGCCGCTGTTCGAGTAGTGGCAGTAAAACGAGCCCTGGACTTGAGGTGGAAGATGGCATGTGAACCCCTGTTCTTTCTCCTCTTAGTCAGGTGACCGGGGTTGTCACTTAACCTCTCTGAGTCTTAGTTCCCTTGTCCGTAAAACAGATGATAAGCCACCTTCTGTCCCCACCCTGGATGGCACCGTGTTTTCCACCCACCCTACCATGTTGTACTGGTCTCTGCCTGTCTGCCTGTGTCGCTAGACTGTGAGCTCCTTGAGGACAAAATTATAAATTATAAAGATAGTGCTTGGCATATGGCAAGTATGCAAAACTTTGCCAAATAACCAACAAAAGAGTAAAAATACATTACCTACTATTTCTATAAGACTAAAAGATGAATTTAATTGGACCAAAAAAAAAAAGGTTGGCACATAATGATTCTCTGATTTCTCACAAGCAAGTGTTTATTAATTCACTTTAGACTCTTTTAAAGAATCAGCGTAAAGGTTCTTAGTCTTCTCTGCTAGAATTCCTGTTTCCCCATTTTTGGAAGATTTGGACAACGCTGACCTCTGCCATTTTCTGCCACCTCGTCCATTCTTTGGGAGTCCTCATCAAAGATAAAAAGTAGGATATTTACTTTCTAAAAAAGGTAGAGTATGTATATCCTTTCGTGGATTGGAGACTTGAACTGACAGAAAGGGGCCCTCTTACAGGCTCCTCGTGCTCCTTGGGGACAAATTTCCTTTGTAGTGTTGCTTGTCTTCCATTTCCGGCCTTAAGACTTTTATACTCTCTGGGAAAGATTCAAGCACAAGAGGCTCAAAATTTTGCTTTCCCGCTGATATTTATTAACCTCACTGGGTCTTTCTTAGTCGCGCGACCTGTGCTCTCTAACTTTGAACACAGCTTTAAAAAAACTCTCCTGGTTTAGCATTTTTATTAACCACAACTTCTCTTGAGCTTTAGCTTTCTTGAAACATTTCTTAAGTGTAAATGCTATTCTTTTGTGCCAGGCCTGTACATCTCTTTTGAAAACCTGAATTCACTAGGGAGCTTGGTTTTGAGTTGAACTGCTCTAAAGCCGAGAAGAGGCGGAGTCACCGCGTCCCTATTAGATGTGATGTGCAGTCCTTGCACCTGAGAATGATTGCCCGTCCATCCATAGCCAGCAAGAAGACTACATACCATTCTGTTGGTAAAGTTACTGAAGTTCTCAACCAACACCTGTTTGATCATGTCTGGCTCAGAGATAACGATGAACATCCGACGGCCAAGATAGTACCTGGGAGGAATGAAACAATTACTTTAAAACGTGTTGTATTTACCTATCCCTTTCTGCTTTCCAAAAAAGAATTCCCAGTGGCTTAGGGTGAAAGATACAAGACAAAGAGGAGGTACAGAGGTGGAGAAGACGAGGTGATGCAGATGCTAATAGTCACCAGCAGTCATGTAGCTGATGCTCTAACATCAGATATCATTCCGCAGATGTTTACAGAAGCCCACCTTGTACCATCCCCTGGAGGCTCTGGAATGAATAAGACAGAGTCCCTCCCCTGCAAGGAGCTCATAGCTGATAGAAAAGACAGATCTGTAAATTTAGACACAATAACAAGAATTCATAAGATCCAGTAGTAAGACTAAGAAGGAAAATGGCACAGGTCAGTGTTGTCTATATTGTCTAAAAATGGAGAGCTAGGCATTCTAGCCAAAAAAAAAAAAAAAAGATGAATAACGTTTATATCTTGATTCTTGGGAAAAGTCTGAAGTGGATTAGTCAACATGTTTGAGAATTCAGAAAAGATTAAACCTGCTGGGGAAGGGCTGAACATTTGGTTGCCACACCTGGCTATGAAGGAGTTCAATAGCTATTTATGACGTTAATGAAGAAATGGAGGCAAGAGTCTGCCAGTCCGCTGGTCCTGGTGAACTCTAACTGAAGACAGGGCTTCAGTACATGTCTTGTGACATTTATTTATTAAAGTACTGGGGGGACAGAGCAAGCAAGATCCAGTCCCAGCCTTCAAGGGTTTCACAGTCCGGTGGGAGTAACACTTAGGCATTTGGCACATAGTATGACGTCTGTAACGCATGGGTAACATTGGGGGCACACCCAACTCAGCGCTTGGAGAACTGAGAATAAAGGCTTCCCAGAGGTGGTGTTTCTCAAACTAAGTTCTGAAGGATAAGCAGGAGTTAGTCTGGGAAGGTGGGGGGCAAAGGGGATGAGGGTGTACCAGGAAGAGAAATCAGCCTGTGCAGCTGTCCAGGGACAAGCCTGCTTGCAGAGAACTGAGTGCTCAGCTACCAACTGTAAAGCCAACCAGAGAATCATGACAAGTGGGCCCACTGCATAATGCCATGTTTTTAGTCTGTGAAATTATGCTTTCGGGATATAATTTGATCACTGGCATATTCAGCTCAGAGCAGTAAGGAATGGATTTTAAAGGGTAAAGTCATAAGATGTGACAGCAGCAAAATTTACTCCGAATTCTTATTTAGTCAGAACTTTTCATAACCTAAACATGGCTTTCACTTTTTAACTCTTCCCTTTCTCACTGACTAGTGGAAAAATGAAAAAACAAAATGTGTCTGGCACATATTAGGCACTCAGAAAATATTCACCTGAGTGATGATATTTTCCAAAACTGTTGGGGAAATGTTTGGGACACAGGAGTTCAACAAATGTGGCAGAAGGATACTGACTTGTATTTATTGGTTTTAGCCAAGGAGACCAAAAATAACCCAATCAGGCCATAAACCAGTCTTTTTATAAAATTTATGGGGCGTGTGTTATGGAATCTTTAGAGGATCTAGTGAAAGCTCTGGACATTCTCCTAAGAAAAATGGACATTCACAGCATTTTGTGTACAATTTGAGTTCTTGGACCCCTGAAGCCCATTCTAGAGCAAAGCTTCTCAAACGTAAAACGTGCTCAGAAGTCACCGGGGTTTGAAGAAATAATGGCTAAAAATTCCTTCAATTTGCAAAAGACATAAACTTACAGAAGAAGCTCAGTGAATCCTCTATTGGAGGAACCCAAAGAAATCCATGCCAACACATATCATAATTAAACATCTGAAAACCAAAACCAGAAAAAGTCTTGAAAGCCGCCATTGAGAAATGATGTACTATCCATAGGGAACGCCAGTTCAAAGGACAGCAGATTTCTCATCAGAAACCATCAAGGCCAAAAGGAACCAGCATTTTTCAAATGCTGAAAGATGAGAACTGTCAATCACAGGTCCTATATTTGGTGAAAATATACTTCAGGAGAGAAGAGGAAATAACAGCATTGTCAGATGAAGGAAAACAGAGAATTTGTCACTACTCTTAAGATCTACCCTTAGAATTGCAACATGTTCATGGATTGGAAGACTCCATGCTGTAAAGATGTCACTTCTTTCATACCCAATCCATAAGTTTAATGCAATTCATATCAAAATCACAGTAAGAATTTCTGTAGGCATAGACAAGTTTATTTTAAAATTTATATAGACAGGCAAAGGACTTAAAATAACAAAATCAGTTGTGAGAAAGGAAGATGAAGGGGGAGGAATCGGCCTACCAGAATCCAAGACTTGGCTACAGTAGTCAGGGCTGTGGTGTTGGCACAGAAATAGGCACATAGATGAACGGAACAGAATAGAGAACCCAGAAAGAGGCTCACACAAATATCCTCAACTGATTTTTGACAGAGATACAAAAGCAATTTAATGGAGGAAGGGTAGCCTTTTAACAAGTGGTGCTGGAGCATTGGGCATATGCTGGCAAAAAAATGACCTCACACTTTATACAAAAATTAACTCAAGGGCCGGCCGAGTGGCGCGATGGTTAAGAACTGGCTTGGGACACCAGAGGCCCCGGTTCGGATCCCACATATGAGGGCCAGTGACACTGCCCTCTACAGCTAAGATGCTGAACAACAGCTCAACCTGGAGCTGGGCTGCCATGAGTCGCCGGTGACGGCGTAGGCTGCAGCCCCTGCTGCAGTGGGTTGTCATGGGCTACCGTGTGTAGCCAGCAGCCAGCGTGAGCGGCCGTCCAGAAGCCGGCGACTGATCTGCCTCGCCCAGGAAGAGCGCAATGATGGTGCCAACTTGGGCCAGTGAAGCAACATCCTCCACAACTAGAGTGAAGAACAAAACGACAGCAACTTGTCTGTTCCCCTTCCCCCAATTCCCCAGCGCTGTTCCCATCCCCCAAAATCCCCAATAAAAATCTTAAAAAAAAAATTTAACTCAAAATAGATCACAGACTTAAATGTAAACCATAAAACTTTTAGAAAAAAAATAGGAGAAAATCTTTGGGCGCTAGGCAAAGAGTTCTTAGACTTGATACCAAAAGTACAATCTATAAAAGACAAAAAAAACAACAATAAATTACCCTTCATCCAAAAAAATTTTTTTTTCTCCAAAATATCCTGTTAAGATGAAAAGACAATCTACAGACTGGGAAAAAATATTTGCAAACCTTATAGCTGACAAAGAACTTGCATCTAGAATATATGAAGAACTCTCAAAATTCAAGAGCTAAAATACAAACAATTCGATAAAAAAATGGGCACAAGACATGAACAAATATTTCACCAAACTTTTTGATACAAATGTGAAGTAAACACTTGAAAAGATGTTCAACATCATTAGCCATTAAGGAAATGCCATATAAACCACAATGAGATATCACTACACATCTATCAGATGGCTAATATAAAAAATAGTAACATCAAATGCTGATGAACATGTGGAGAAAGTGGGTCATTCATACATTGGTGGTGTGAATGTACAAAGGTACAGCCATTTCAGAAAACAGTTTGGCAGTTTCTTGTCAAACCAAATGTGTACTTCCTATATGACCCAGCAATGGCTAGCACTCTTGGGCATTTATTCCAGAGAAATGAAAACTTAAGTTCACACAAAATCATGTACATGAACATTCATAGCAGCTTTATTTGTAATAGACAAAAACTGAAAACAACTCAAATGTTTTTCAAGGATGGATGGTGAAACTAACAGTGGTACATCCCTACGATGGAATACTACACAACAATAAAAAACCCAAACTATTCGATACCTGTAGTGACTTGGATGGATCCCAAGGGAGTTGTGTGAGTGAAAAAAGCCAATCTAGAAAGGTTCCATTTTCTTTTAATTTTAAAAGTTTATTTTCTGAAATCTGTAATCTCTGCCCTTCCTTTTGAGAAAAAGTTTTTGCATTGTATGATTCCATTTATATAACATTTTTGAAATAACAAAATGACAGAGATGGAGAAGAGATTAGTAATTGCTAAAAGTTAGGGAGGGGGTAGTGATGGGTTGGTGTGGCTGTAAGGGGTAGCACTAGAGAGCCTTGTAGAGATGGGGCAGTTCTGTACTTGGCTGTAGCAGTAGTTACACAAACCTACACATGTGATAAAATTGCATAGAACGCTACATGTACACACACACACACACACACACACAGACACACGAGTACATGTGAACCTTATAAAATCCAAATAAGCATTATGAATTGTCCTGATGTCAAATTCCTGGTTTTGCTAATGTACGCTAGTTGTAAGAGCATACCACTGGGGGAAACTGGGTAAAGAGAACAACACAGTATCTCTCTGTACAGTTTTTCTTTTCTTTCTTTCTTTTTTTCTTTTGCAACTTTATGGGAATCTATGATTATCTAAAAATTAAAAAAAATTAAACTCATCTGGGAGCTTAATAAATTATGTAGTCATAGCTCTGCTCAGATCTAGTAGGCCTGGGTGGAACCCAGGAATCTGCATTTTAACAGACTCTCCAGGTTCTAATGAAGATTCCTCCCATGCTGAGAAACTCTGCCTGACGCCAGTGGTTTTCAGCCTCAGTGGCTCATCAAAACCATTTGTCCAGCATTCAGGAAATAAGGATGACTGGCCCCACCCAGACCTACCTGACCAGGAAAGACTGGGACACAGTCCTTTCTAATTTTGACAAGCTCACCAGGGAATCCTGATGTGATAACAATAACCAAGTTGGGGACCCCCAAACCCCAAATTATAAACCGTGCTCTATATTTAATCAAAGCTCACACCCATTCTCATTTCCCTACATTCTTAGATCTAAAAGGATAATATTTACACTGGGGTACAAACATATTTTGGTAATATATTTGTATTGATTTTGTTATTACCAAAATAATTTTAAACATAATCTGGATTTTCAAAACAGCAAAATAATACTTCTGCATTCAAATGAAAGTTGTCCTCCCAAGTGGGCACCTTGGGAGTCTTTGTTCTTTTTTCTAGTAATATTG